GTACCCCAAAATTTGCCCTTTTATTTTTTACAAAATATTCTCTTACATGGGTGGCTACAAACACTTGCTTGAATAAAAATAACAAATTTTGAAGTTGATCAAAGTGCTCTTCGATAAGGTGTCTTTCGGTTGGCATCCTAATAATGTCTTTCGATTATCACCTGAACAAGGCCTTTCGATTGGCCTCATGGCCAAGCCCTTCGATTGGCATTGTGGCCAGGCCTTTTGATTGACATTCCAAAAGAAACCTTCAATTAGCATGGATACAAGGCCTCTCAATTGGCCTCATGACAAGCCTTTCGATTGGCAGGGAAAAGAATCCTTCGATTTTTCATCTCAAACCAGGCAGCTTCAATAGGCATGTTAACCAAGTACCCTTCGATTGGTATGGACAAAGACCCTTCGGTTGGAATTCCAAAAGGTCCATTAGAAGAAGCCTTCAGAAGACCCATTCGAAGAAGCCTTCAGAAGTCCATTCGAAGCATGCATAAGAGCCCGTTCGAAGAAGCCTTCAGAAGTTCATTCGAAGCATGAATAAGAGGTCCATTCGAAGAAGCCTTCAGAAATCCATTCGAAGAGGCATTCGAAAGAGTCAAGTGTCCAGGTTCATTCCAAGATTTCTAAAGAGACATGAACGTTTCAAAAAAGGAATGCTTTTGATATGTTTGATTCTTGTCTCATGGTCTTAAAAGCATGGTTAATTTGCTATCTCTTGTCGTTATTGGACCATCACACTCCTATAAATACAAGGCTAACACCACATTACAAGGGGGACAAAAGAGAGAACATAGACGAACGAAAGAGAAGACGGGAGGGGATACTGCACCCACACGCTGCCTCAGGAAGCGCATTAAAGAACTCAAAGTCCCAAGAAGCCTCCCAATCGAAACACCTTTTGCAGGTTCCCTCATCCAGCAAACGTCTTCACACCCAGAGCCACAGATCATCATCTTTGATTGGCATCTCCATTCCAAAAGAATATCAGATTCGAACCCATACCCATCACCATAGACTCATACACCACTGTTGGTAAGGGAAATTTAAGGAATTAAATTCTATACCTTTTTTGCATATTATAGTCATTCGATTTTTTCATTCATGATGGAAGGGCCTGGGTGTGGTACCCAGGTCCGTATTGGTTTTCGTTTGCTTCTAACATTTGTTGCAGATCCAGCATAAATAAGGCCAGAGCGCGCAGGATCGAAAGACCTGGGCTTACCACCCAGGTCACGCCTTTCGTTTTTGCCAGCATACATTTGCATATTCATTGTCCTCATAGCATCCATCCATGGATCGAAATACAATCATCTCCTCCCGGGTCGAAGGACACTCATCCCTCTTGGATCAAAAACCCCGACTATCTCCAAATCGAAAGCCGCCTTCCTCAAGATCGAAGGCAGTCTTTTTTTCTGAATCGAAGCTCTGATTCCCCCCAAGATCGAAGGATCCCCACTCCTTCATATTTTATTTTGGTTCTTTTTTTGTTATTTCTTTGTTTTGTTTTTTTTACTTTGACATAAAATCAATCCAAAAACCACAAAAAACATTAGGACAGTTTTTTTTCACTAAATTAATTTTATTAATCAATCATTTAATTATCTTAAGATTTTCTCAACAAAAAAAACTAAAATTAAAAAGATTTAGATCATTTTCCCAAAATAAACAAAAACAACAAAAAGATTTTATCCTTAGGATTTTTAGACATTATTTTCAATTCGCGCGCATTTTATTTTATTGTAACTGCTCACAGTTGTAATAGCTTTAGATTTAAAATTCCGCATTTTTAGTTTCTTGCATTTTTATGTAACTGTCCTGAAGCCTTGTAATAGCGTAGGATTTATAATTCCTGCATTTGACATCATTCAAAACTAGTTTGCTTCAAATGTAAAGACATTTAGCAAAATATTATCAAGTCAGTATTTTACCAAAATTACTGCCAACAAAGACTTACAAACTTCTCCTTTGGCAAATTTTGGATAAAACATTATTTTAGCACATTATCAGAGCAGCAACACAAGCAAAAAAAAACTCAGTTAGCAGTTAGCAAAAGTAACTAAGTTAGCTATTAGCAGAGGAAGATGTCAGATCATCTTCAGAGACATGAGGCTCCCCCTCAAACATTAAGCTCCCCCTTAGTCAGTGATCAGTCAGTCAGAGGTCAGTCAGTTTCTCTCCCCCTTTTTAGACATAATATGCCAAATAAAACATGCATTCAAGAGAATAGAAGTAATAGAATATGCCAAATAAGTAAAGACCATAGAATCCATGAGTCAAGCATATACAAGTGCCAAAAAGGAACAAAGGGGTCAAAACAAATAAATAGCAAATGGTCTAACTGTCTTCAGGACCAGTAGACTTGGCAGAGTCATAACTTCCTTCATCATCAGAATCTTCTCCTTCAGTGCTCACTCTATCATCAAAATTGTTGTCCTTCTGCAGCTCCTTGATCATCTTTTTAAAAATTAGCTTTCTTGTTTAGCTAACTCTAATTACATCAGCAAGTTCTTTGTAGGCTTCCCTTAATTCAGTAATCATGTCATCCTTGGTTGAGGTCTTGTTTTCAGAAGATGCAAATGTCAAAACAATGTATGGGACATGTTTTCTTGAAAACATCTTGAAGTGAAGGGTCAGAGCGGACTCCCTCTTGCAAAATACATCATTACCACTCAGAATTCCAGGATGTTGATTAAGAATAATTACACAATAAGAGATGAAAAGGCAATAGGAATTTTGATAGCACATGTTCTTGCATGCTTAATAGTCTGATAAAAAATGTAAACACCATAATCAAACAGTTTCTTATTTCCAACAGCATAGATAAACTTTCCTAAGCCAATTGTAATGATTGAGGTATTGATTGGTAGGAACCCAGTTAGCAGCTCCAATTTTATGCAAGATATCATATTTCACACTTAGCTTGCTAACAAGAAGCTTATTCTTCATGGACCACTCACTCACTTGGTTTGCAGTGATGGCTTTGCACACTTGATTATCAGTTACTTCCAGCTCACAATAATCATCTTCATACCTATCCAGAAATCTATTGATGACAACAGGGGAAAATTCTACACACCTACCTCTAACAAACACCTTCCTATATTCCTTACTATTATGATCAGCACAGTCAATAGGAATATTAACAATAAATTCCTTAACAAGAGTCTCATAACTTTTTGCAAACCTGGTGACAGTCTTCATCAATCCAGCAGAAGAAATCAGCTCCATAATCTTTTTGCACTCCAGTGCACCAGCTCCCAACTCTCTTTCAAGGGCAATTCTTCTTTGAAATACATATTTCCACTTTTCAGCATTTCCAACAGAATGGAAGAAAATGTTGTCAAGAGGAGCCTTAGGCACCCTAACAGAAAGCTTTTTGCTTGCAGATTTCTTCACATGAGAGATATCTTGGACATCTTCCTCGACATCATAATCAGAGTCAGCTTCTTCTACTAATGCAACTTTCTTCTTACTTCTGGATCTCTTCACAGGTGAGATGTTCTGGACAGCATCATCATCATCATCATCATCTGTGGGGCTATTAGGTTTAGCTTTTCTTTTGTCAGAGGGAGGAACCACTTTACTCTAGAGCTTTGGGGGACCATACATAGTCTTCTTCTTGATACTCTTGGCAGGGGTGTGACATCCATATTTTTTCTTTTTCTAGTCTTGAGCCTTTTAGCAATTTCAGGCACCACATTAGAAATGAGCTTATTGTCAGACAACTCATCAACATTAACCACATTCTCAGTATTTTGATTCTCTGCAGCTTTGGAGCCAGTAGCATCTTCCTTAGCAGGAGAGTTTCCAATATAACATTCAAGACTTTAGAATTTCCAATAGCAATTTCATCCTCTTCTTTAGACCAATCTTCTTCTGACTTTAAAATCTTTCTTTTGTTGTTATTTTATATAATTGAAGTTATAGAATCAATTGTATCGTTTATTATAAGTACATGTCAATGCTTAAAAATCGGTGCATATTATTAACATATATTTGAAACTATGTAAATGTTAACTAACTTACTAACGAAGATAAACTTTACAAATAATAATTTGATAGACGTATTAATATAAATTCAAAAGGAACTCGTGCAATAACACGAATTTCTTAATAGTTAACTAGTTAACTCAGAACATCAAAGGTTAACTTCTTAGTTTGAATAACATAGATGTATTCAAATTTCTTTGTCAAAAGTCACAAATATCGCTTTCAATTTGAATGTATAATAACTTCTTCGTTTGGTTTTAATTTATTATAGTTGAAAATTCAAAAAGCATGATTGTATCAAGTGTGAATTCGTTGACATAATTGATTTTTGAGTGGTAGAAGAAAGAAGGTCTAGGATTGAAAATATTCTATTGTTGGTTTATTAATAAATAATTGAGGTTAATGTTTAATTTTTTTTTTTTTTGAAGTTATAGGTTTATAAATATCATTAAATTGCTTAAGTTAAAACATTAGAAAAAATATTTTGAAAAATGATACTACCAAAAATTGAACTCTAAAAATCAATAACTTTTACATATCTAACTCAAATTAATTGAGGTACCCTTCTAACCTAATAATTAATATATTAAGTATACTTGTATTTAAAATATTAATATAAAGCTTAAAACATTTATTTTTATTTATTTATTATTTGATTATGTGAAAAAGAATTTAACACTATATAACTTTAAATTAAAAAACACGATAATAGTTCAATTGATAAAAATATTATTCCTAGTATCATATTTAGTAAAAAGCAAACCTAAATAAATGTAGTTTATGACTTATATCAATTATTTTGTTTATATTTTGTTGTACATATTCAACTCTTTCCCACAACTATATAAATATTTTGTTGTACATGTTGACATTACATTTTATGTCCTCTCATTCTGAAATAAATCGAGTGGGGGGTGGGGGGCTATACCTATGTTAATAACCTCACCAATAAGACTTGATAAATATTATCACTTAATTTTTTAAGTAGAACTTAAATTTTAGTGATGAGATCATCAACATAACACTCTCATATTAGTATGCAACACAAGAAAATCGAAATCCAAAAATATGAGGCAAAAAGAAGAGTTGGACTTTATTGAATTGTGCAACACCAGCAAAAGAAGGAAAAAAAAAGAGCTACTTAGATTAAATTGAAAGCCATATAGAAACCAGATACAGATAAAACTATGGTGTTGGCAAAACCATAAAAGTTGTAATGAATTACAGCAATCATAAAACCAGAGATGCTTTTTCCAGCTAAATCTAAAGTTGAACAAAATCTTGCCCAAATCAGTTTCATGAAGAAAAAAACATAAATGCTGTATCATGAACCACATCATACTATCAACACAGTATTCTAATAAATAACTGCACTATCAAGGCAAGCATTTAGCAAGAATGAAAGTAACAGCCAATGCTATTATGCTTGGTTGTCGCCACCCCCCCTACCACGTCCACCAATTCTTCCCCTACCACGGCCATATCCCCTGCCTCCACCTCTACCTCTTTCATAACCCATACCTCCACCTCTGCCTCCTTCATAACCCATTCCTCCACCTCTGCCTCCTACATAACCCATACCTCTGCCGGCTTCATAACCTCCACCCCTGCCACCGTCATAGCCTCCGCCCCGGCCTCCTTCATAGCCTCCGCCCCGGCCTCCCTCATAGCCTCCGCCCCTGCCGCCATCATAACCTCCGCCCCTGCCGCCATCATAACCTCCGCCCCTGCCGCCATCATAACCTCCGCCCCTGCCACCTTCATAGCCTCCGCCTCTGCCGCCTTCATAGCCTCCGCCTCTGCCACCACCATAACCAGTACCTATTACAGAATGCAACATATGAAGATCAGGTTTTTTCAGATTAAACATGCATCTCCTTCATAAATACATTAAGAGTTTCCTACATTTGATTGATGAATGCATTTACCAGGAGAAACAGGCTATAACTATGCAGCATTCATAACTTGCATACCTCCAAAGAAAAATGTAGAAATATACAATGCTTTTTCTTAAACTAAACTTACCACGATACCCCCAACCTCTTCCTCGACCTCCACCTCGGCCACGATTAGAATATCCACCATTATCTGTCAGGAATCAAGCACAGCCAAAGTATTATATATAAACTTTGCAAAAAGAAGACAAGACTACCAAAGCACTTAAGTTGAACTCCAGCTTTCAGAATCCATACCTTGATAATTTGCATATCCACCTTGGTAATAGTCATAACCACCTTGATAATTTCCATAACCACCTTGATAACTTCCATAACCACCCCTTCCCCAATTTCTTCCTCTTCCTCTCCCCCTACCTCGACCACGACCTCGGCCATACGAGTCTATAAGATGCACTAAAAGTTAGGATATGTATATTCAACAACTTATTATTTTAATGAATAGTTAATATAGTTATAGCATGTAACCTTCATTTACAGCATTATATGAATCTTGTGCTGGTTTTATAGATTGCTGCTGGTAATTAGAGTGTGGCTTTGGTTGTTCCACGTTAGATGGAGTTTGATACCTAAATATGAAATCATGTAGACATTTTAAATAAATCAAATAATCCAGAAGACGATTCAAAATATAACCTTCAAATTTTACCCCAAAATGTTATTATAACAAGCATATACTTCAATTGAATAAAAAGAAAGGAAATATGATCATGAAAGTAGTCAAGGAACTCACCCAGGGGAATTCTTGTCTAATTCTCCGGTTGATAAGGTGATTGAGATCATAGAGACATGTCTGGTCATTTCCACACTGCAATAAATGTTGAGGTTAAACAACTTGGCCACCCAAATAGAAAAAGATGATAAAAGTACAGAATGTTAAAATTTCAAACAGAACTTACGGTACAAGACCCTCTTCAATGGGCTCCCACACATCTGTTATGCTAACCGAGCTGATGGCAGTATCTTGGTGCAAATGAGCAATTCTCTTCTGTTAAAGGAGATTGAAAGCAAATCATGGAAAATCAAGATGAGTTCTAAGGCAAATGTATTATCCAGATTTTGAATTCTTATTCTAAGTTTATAACTTTTCGCAACCTTTTTTTAGGTTTATTGACCAATGAACTCTGTATTTGTTCACTAACTACCAGAAAAATATGCTAGACTTTCATTTGCAGAATTTTAAAAAACATATAATGAGCAAGAGAAAAACATCTTGCAAAGAAATGACCTTCAGAATCTCTGAAATGGCAACTGTCTTGCTGATGGCTTGACCCATTGCCTTCAAGACAATCTCTTTAACCTGCTTTTCCTGGATGAAATACAGAATACAATTATAAGATGAAATAGACCAGCAAATAGGTTCTTATGCATGTACCATTTAATAGTATTTGAATGACTTTACGATTTTACGCATGTTACAATAAAGAAGGAACATAAAAACCATTGGACAATAACTTCAAGTAAATGAGATGGGAGGGACAAAATGATTTTAAGTAATGAGAAACTCGAAGTGACTAGAAACATTGAAGTCAAATTGAAATATACAATAAAACTAAAAATGTTGTTTTAAGAATGGTGAATGGTGATTGATATATTTTGTTAACAAAGTGATATGTAATGTACTTTAAAAAACAGTATATAAAAGGAACAAAAATAAACGTTAACCCGTGTTAATGAGAATAATATCACATATGATACATGACAATATTTGGAAACCTGAGATTAATCACATGTTTCACAAAAGCCATAAAATTTACGTTCAAAAACCAAAGATTATAGTCAGAGTGTAAGACGATTTTGAAAATTTTGGAAGAAAATAGTAAAATTATAAAAACTTGGAGGACAGAATTGTTGTCAGAAGAAGGATAGGGTCTCAATCTGAAGAACAATAGAAGAATGAAAAGAAAAAATATAATCCTCTTGAGCCTACTGAACTGCCCGTCGGGAAAATGAAAGAAAACAAGCACACACTAAAATCATATTTTTCTTCATCAGTCAGGTGACAAAATCAGCTGTATCCAATGCAAAAGTGAAAAACTTTCCTGCTATTGTAAAATGTCCAATTCCCAGTACCTACAACACGCTTAGGATTCTAATAGGTTCCAGTTCAACTTCTGATTAGAATTGATACATTTGTTTGCTTGATAGCATTGCATGATTTGAATCATTAAAAGGAAAAAGTTGGAAGAAATCAATAAAAAATATCTTAGTAATCTTTCGCAAATCGCAAATTAGATGCTGCTACTGGAACAATAATCAATTAGGTGCTTATTTTGATCGGCTTATTAGAATCAAAGTATTAATAAAAACACAAACTGACACTAGTATACTTCTTAACACAATTACTTATTACAATTTCTGCTTACTTTTACAAGATAACTTCCTAATTTTTAACATCTCCAATTTCCTATTGCTCAAGAATATCCTGAGTATGTAGCTTCTTTCTTACTTCCACCAATACTTCAAAACCAGTCTCCTAAAATAAGCCATTAGGTAGCACCTTGCTTATACAGAAAGCTCTTAATACTTAATACTGCTACATTCTTTTCAAACAACTAGTAAGAAAAAATGCCAATTATGAAATCCTAGTAATCATCCACGGCGTTGCATTTAATATGATTTCCCTGTTGATTTGTTTATCGGATTAAAGCAATACCCAACATAAATGAAAGCGGTGTAGATTACAAAAAGTTATCAGAACACACATATCCCCAAACATAAATAATCCAGAAACACCGATAAGCTTCAAAGAGATTCACAACGAACAAATAAGCAAACAGAAAATGGACCGTCATTGATTATTCATTATTCCCGTTCAATCAATTCAACAAATGTTCTTAACAATACCACCAAAGAGCACTCGAACACACAAAAACAACATCAATTAAGAATCAACAAACACAACATTATCATCAATCAACATCAACAACTTCCAACATTCAAAAAACACAACACGATAAACAGCAAAAACAACATCAATCGCCACAAAACAAACACAACCAAAAACGATACATCAATAGGTTAATCGAACAAAGCATGCAACGAATCTAGGAAACAAAGATTAACCAAACCGAATGAAAGACCTGAAGAAGCGAAGTTGCATAAGTGATGTAGTTCCGAATGGCGCCTTGAGTGGTGATTCGGATCTCATTTTCGTTGATGGGAGACTCTGGTTTGGGTTTCTGAACCTTCTGGTACCTATCCATTGATAATCGAGAAGTGGAGAGAGAAAGAGGTAGAGAGAGAAGGGGGTGAATGAAACCCTAACCTTATAAACCCTAGAAAAGGAAGGGAAGACAATAGAGATGTAAAGGGTAAAGTGTTTCCTAAAACCTCAGCCTCGTTTGTTTTGTTTTCTTGTGCTTCTTTTTTTAAGTATTTATGTTTGGTATTCCATTAAGCGTTTTGGGTTTGTTTGGATTGGGCAGAAGTTGTTAATAACAAACGCGCGGTTGCACTTCCACGCACCATGCCACCATTACATAAATCACGTTTGTGTTTTCACAAATGGCACACTAAAAGTGTGCTTGGGTAACGGATTGACGTAAATTGTTCTTGAATGAGTTGATCGTATAAAATTGATTCTGATTAAAAGTGAACTGAAGATAAATGAATTTAGAAAAAGGTGTAAAAATATAAATTTACGCTATTACAATCGATACTGCGACTTATATATTTTGTCTAACAAAATTAAATAGTAAAGAAAGAAAATAAGGAAAATGCTAGAAAAATATTTTAAAGACCAAGATCTAAATGTTAATGTTTTTGGTACTTTGTAGAAAATAATTTAAGTGTTAATAATTAATTAAAACCTAAATTCTAATTGATTTTAATATTAAGAAAAAGCTTATTTAATTAATAAAATAAAAATATGTCAAAAAAATTAATTATTAATTAAAAATCCTAACCCTAATTTATTATGTTTTGAAAAAGATTAGATTAGTTAATGGTTAATTAAAAAAGAATTAATTAAGAAAATAGAAAATTAGGGTTAGAAAGAAAATAGGGCAAAAAAAGAAAGAATGCATGGGATGGGTATTGAACTCACGCCCTTGAAATTATAGGCGCGCCCTCTTGTCACTGCGCCATGCGCTTGCTGGTGTTTGAGAATGGGAAGCAATCATTATAATATTAACATGCACGTTAGTTTGGAAAAACAAAAAAATAATTACTAGACGTAGGGATCGAACCCACGCTCCCTATGTTACATGCCTCTGTCTCCAACCAACTACGCCACGCTGCATTCGTGTTATAGAATGTAAAAAATAAATATATAATAAAAACAAACGAATTAGAGAAGCATCGGAGCCCTAGCTCTGGTCGTCTTCTCCGGCGAGGTAAAATCCATATCCTGCGAAAACACACGAGTTAAAGATTAAGAGGGATCATGTCTCCCTAATTTGGACCTCCTGAATCCAATGGTGATGTTAGTTTGGTCTGAAACTGCTTGTATCGTGAGTTTCGAAGCAAATACTCTAAATTGTCCTAACAATGGTAACTCACCATCCCCGCGTCAAAGCTTGCAAGTAATGGATCAAAACAATTCTAAACATGATTATGAACATGTATGTATGCATTAAATGATTCAACAATGCGCATATTAAGAATTTGAGATTCACAAAAATTACCAAAACTGGTGCAATTAGATGTGGCTATTTTGGACGTGGAATTGCTTCAAGGATGGTTGGGATGGACTCCTGGGAACTTCAGGAAGATAATAGGGTGCTTGGAACAGATTGAAAGAGGCTGGAGATAAAGGTTTCAAGTTTCCCTAGTTTTGACAAAAATTGAGATTTTGAGGGTGTGTACTTGAGACAAATGGCACACTAAAAGTGTGTTTGGGTACCGGATTGACGTAAATTAATTTTGACTGAATTTATCATATAAAATTGATCTCGATTAAAAGTGAATCAAAGGTAAATTAATGTATGGTTTGATGTATTCATATGAAAGTAAGTTAAGAATAAATTTAGTTGTAAAATGGAGACATAATCAAAGATTAAATGAAACTTAAAAACTAGAATTGAACATGGTGACATAATCAATTCACTTTTAGAAGAATCAAATATAAATAAATCTGATTGAAATCAATTATATACCTCTAATTGTCTTTGACTCTTTCAAAATGAAACATGAAATGAGATGATTTTATTATACCTAAAAAGGGGGGCAAACTATGATAAAGCGATTCAAACCAAATGCAATAATATTTATGAATTTAGTTTGGCCGCCTGAAGCGCCTTTAGGTCGCCTGATTGAGCGTGAGGTATCTTGTCTGTTTTAGATCTTTGACATGTTATCACGTGTGGCCTATGAGGTGTCCAAGGAATGTCGGTCAAAAGGAAATTGTTTCCCCTCTAATTCAAGGGAGAATGAGTCTCATACTACATGTCATAGAATGAGGGGAATCGCTTTCTGGCTTTCTAGCTTAGCTCCAAGGAGTACTGTATAAATTATTTAATTCCATAATTAAGGAGAATATACACAAATTTAGAGAGAAATATATATAGTCTTCAGTGTGATGAAGGTGATGCTTTCAATATTTTTAGTGTGACCAGTGATATTGACGCTTTCGAGGTGAACTTACAATGACATCATTGTGCAACAAGGATGAACTATTTCCTTTTGTGTCACGATATTATATGTATGTTTTTATGTTTACTGCATTGAACATAACTAGTACATTTGATTGAAATGGTGCACTGAAATGAACAGGTACATTTATTAAAAATAATGTATTATACTAAATTGGTAAATTTTATTGAAAATGTCGCACTTAACTGACTGTTACACACACACACGCACACGCACACACACGCACACGCACACACACATACACACAAACATATATATATATATATATATATATATATATATATATATATATATATATATATATATATATTCGATCAAACTCTAGTATGGTCGAAGGGTTAGCTTCTGGTCTGGCAGTAATTAAGCATGAGATCAAAGCTTGTTTGCATGTTGTTGTCGAAATAGTGTGTGTTATAGACGAAGTTGTTCTAACATGCATTAGTTGATATTTACTAGGTTTGTTAGCATGTCGAAATTGGGCATGTTTCAGTCCAATTGTTTAAGTTAGCTTGTTTCCTAAGTTAGCTTGTAATGGGTTTGTGAGTAAAAGCTCATTAGTTTAGTGTGTTTGTTTTCTTATAAATAGTTGTTGTACCCCAAAATTTTACCTCCCATTTTCTTCAAGGCATTCTCATGAGGTCCCCATTTGCTTCAAAGCTACTCAGGAGTTGACTGGTCAACCCTCCTCCTAAGCATTGACCTATAACTAGGGTTTTGGTTTTCTCAAGGAAAATTGGACTTATAATGCCTCAAATGACTTCCATGGTTCATCATAGGTCCTCAATAATGCTCATGTCAAGTTTCAAGTCTTGCATCACAAGTTTGCTCAGTCAATTGCTCAGATGACTGAAAATCAACTATATTGGACAAAAAGTCAACTAGGGTCAACATACAGTCAAACTTCAAGATTTTTGGTCAACATCAACATTTTGAGGTGATATTCATCATTTGATCAAGGGTTGATCATGATTCCTCAAGAAAAGCCCTCAAATCATCAAAGGTCAACATTATCCAAATTAGGGTTTTAATTAAGGATGACTGATCATTGAATTTTGGCCTAGTGCATGACCTAATGACTTGAAGTATGATATTAAGGACTCAAATACAACATCTTGACCTAATTAAATGTCCCAAGACATTTCCAAAAATACAAGTGATTGATAGTTGAGGAAATTGAATCAATTGATGAAAAGTCAACAGTCACACAAAAGTCACATTTTAACTTTTTGATCAACATTGGAATTCAAAAATCAAGAATCATTAAAACATTCAAAATCATCAATTTGGATCATCAAGAATTAAGAAAGTCAACAAAAGTCAAATTGAAGATTTTCAAACACTTGGAAAAAATTCAAGTGTTTTGTACCTAAAAAACCATAACTTCACAAGCAAGTTTCCTCAAGATACAAGTTGATTCAAGGAAAACTTTCAACATGAAAGTTGTAGGGATTGATGAAATCTAAAAATTTGATAATGTGGGGTAATCCTAAAAAAGTTCTTAATTTAAGAGATATAATCCCATGAAGTTATGATGTTTTTTATCCAACCCTTAGAAATTTTTTAACAAGTTTTGACCAGTTTTTTGTCCCAACTTCATGGCCATTTTTCACCAAGATCCCAATTGATTGACGATGGTACTTCTTGATATGGCCCCTTGACCCATACATGACATTAGTTTCTTTTTTACCGGTAAAAGGTTTCTTCACAGTATTTGGTGTAGAGGCAGAGGCCATGGGAATCTTTCCACTTTTAATACCGCTCTCGATCCTTTCACCAGTCAAGATTAACTCAGTGAAACCAGATGATGAGCTCTCAATTAACAAATTGAAAAATGGTCAAGTCAATGTTCCCATGTACACATCTACCAACTCCATATCGGGCAATGGTGGCTGCACCCTACCTTCCAGGTCTCTCCATTTTTGTGCATATTCTTTGAAACCTTCATTAGAACCCATGGTCATTCCTTGTAACTACACTCTAGTTTGTGCCAGATCGGCATTGTACTGATATTTATGATAGAAAGAGGTGGCCAAGTTTTCACAGGTATGGATGGTTGAACCCTCTAACTGGTAAAACCACTCCAATTGAGTCCCAGACAGACTCTCTTGAAAGAAATGCACCCATAACTTCTTATTAGTGGTATGCGGTTAAATTTTTCGGACGTAAGATCCCAAGTGAAGCTTTGGGCATGAGACACTGTCGTACTTGGAAAAAACTTGAATCTTGAATTTGTGGGGGATCACTACCCCAAGCATTAAACCCATGTCACCAAAATCCAAGCCAGGCACAACTTGAATTTCCACAGCCATCAACCTAACTTCCAGTTGCTTATACTTGTCTTCGGCGAGTGGATATTGTTCATCAAAATAGTCATCATCCTTAGAGTTTGGATTGTTACCACCCTCAGCATGGGTGCTCCTTGCGTCTTCATCCTAATTCTCATCTTCTTCGGAGGAGTCTTCTACCACTTGAACTTGTCGAACGGGGCCCTTGAATATTTTCCCCATGTTGATCAAAGCCTTCTTCTTGGTCTTCTTCTTTGCAACCAGAAGTGACATTAGTTCTTGTTGCTCTTTGGCCAAGGTGAGCAAGGTTTCTTAAAATTGATAAT